CTCTGCTCCTATGATGCTGCTTGGCCTGCTGTGTTCATCCAGCCCTGTTGTCTCAGGATTTATTTTGCTTTGCAGTACACTACATTATGCAATCTGTGTGGCCACTGAACCTCTTGCAACACTGCTTCCAGGTCCTCAGGGCTATACTCCTAGGGGGACATCGACTCCACAGCTGTTTATTCCCAATTTCATTGGATAATGTGTTTGGAGACCCTCCTACCCTGTTTGATACAAGATATCAATCCTGATCTACCAAGACTTCCAAAGCGTTGCTGCCTGTTGTGCTATTACCTATTTCCCCAAAGTCAGATTCTCTCCAACTATGACTCTCAGCACCTCCCTTTTCAAAGGTACAAGTTAGTTTTAAGCAGTTTAGGCTAGCTTTAGGCAGTGCTAGCCACTCATGATGTTGCCTCCCCAAAGCAACCTGATGCCCCCAGCCCATGTACTGTGCAATGCTGGCATGACAGAGAGATCATTCAAATTAGTAGAGAGTGTAACGTTTGCCTGTTGCTAGCATTGTAATCACTGGCATGGGTTAATTGTGGACTGTAATCCCTGTGCCATTTCTAAGGACTACATAATTAGCTCCCATTAACCATGGAGCTTTGTCAATCAGCAATCCAATATGGCATGTTGGATTTGAATGATCCGTATCACCCATTAAATCTATCCTCTTATCCATCCTGTTCATCCAAGATCACAATTACTAATCTGTGACTAAAAATGAACAATGTGTATCATGTGTTGTATTAATTCTGAACTCTGAATAAATACCAGATGCTGTTCAAAATATTTTACATCCAGATTAAATAGGCAGGCAGGCCATTGGACTTTCTGAACGATGACATTTCCACCAGATGCTTTTAAGGCATTGTTTAGAATTTATGGCACATGTTTTAATTAACTGCAAATTGTTATGCTTCTCTGATCATCCTTGCTGCAGCCATGATCATGATTGAAAATTACAGTAGAATTTTGCTACATATTCACGTGTGCTTCAGTGAATTTCCCAGTTTGCTGACTCACTTTGAGCCTGATCTCCAGCACATCTAAACCATTCAATCCATATACAGGTAATTTGCCATAATTTTTATACCAGGCATTTGGAAACATTACACAAAGATTGTGCAGGAATTACAAGAACAGAAGAACATAAAAATTATCGGTGAAAATATTTCTGTAGTCTGCTTCAATCCGTTCTATTCTCTAGTTTAATGTGCAGGCTCAAACACCACTTGAGAGAACATAACTAGGATTGAACAAGGACTTGTTTTTTCAAAGGTATAAACTCATGGATAAGAGTTATGATTAAAGATCACACAGCATAATTTGAAGAAATGAAATGAGTTTTCCAAAAGTTCAGCAAATGTTTCTCACAATTAATCATTCATCTCATTCATATTTGTAGAATGAGAATATTTGCAAAATGGCTGCACTATCTCCATATACAAACTACGTGAAGTACACAGAGGTTTCTGAGAAATGTTATCTTGCTAGGCATCATGAATGTTGGTACTTACCAGTTCAGACATGAATAGTTAATGGGAGCTAATTATGTAACCCCTGGAAATGGCGCAGGAATTACAGTTCTTGCACTGGTTGATCAAGAATGAGACTATCAATCAGATTCGTGAATGCTCCCTGATATTTGCACTGCAAATCAGGTTTCAAAAAACATACAAACAAGGTACAAGAGTACCTTGACCCTTTCAGTCTACTCTACCATTCAATAAGATCATAGCTGATCTGATTTTAACCTCAACTCTACTTTCCCACATACCCCCAATAATCTTCTATCCCCTTGGTAATCATGAATGTATCTACCTCTGCCCTAAAAATATATAAGATTCTGCACCCCACAGCCTTTTGAAAAAAGGAATTCCAAAGACTTTCTACCCTCAGAAAAATTTTTTTCCTCATCTGTCTTAAATAGATGACCTTTTTTCAGACTTGGTTCCAGATGGTCCCACAAGAGAAAACATTCTTTCCACATCCACCTGGTTAAGTCCACTCAGGCTCTTACATGTTTCAATTAAGTAATCTTCGACTCTTCTGAACTCCAAAAAGTAGCCTGTCTGGCCTTTCTTCAAAAGGCAATCCACTCAATCTGGATATTAGTCTGGCAAATATTCTCTGGACTGCTTCCAACACAT